ATAACTTTTTGACAGGTTAAGACCGTCACCTTATAATTTGCCATGAACCAAAGGCTTGGATCATCAGTGACTATCTTGAATTCATCAGAAACATTGTTCACTTATAAGCTACGGTTTAAGCAGTAAGAAATTCATCAGAAATTGATTCACTTATGACCGTCGATAAGCCGTCGGAAATAAATTTAAATTTTTCTACAAAAATTAGACCATTCATTTTTCCGTCAATTTTAAATGTTTTTCCTATAGTGAGCCCCCTATTTTTGCAACAAGGCAAAATTTTGCCTCTCATATGAGCTTGAGCTCTAGCTCAAGCATGCAATTGAGTAGACAAGTTGAGCTCTTGTTAGCCGGAACACAAGAACGAGTTGACTCGATCACACCCCTCTTTCGCTTATTCGAAATTTTATATTCTGAAATCAACTGAACTTTTAAATTATTAGTAAACATTGAATTTGTGCTTGGCTCATTTGAATTCAAGCCTAGCACAAACCAATGAAAAAAATATTAAGAAAATGAGCTTAAAGAATAGTTCAAGATTAGCTCGCTTAATCAACTAGAGATTCTAACATGAGTTTCTTAATAATTTGAACACAACATTTTTTTTTTTTTTTTGGTATGAGATGGGCTCAAGAATCCAACACCTTGAAATTCTTCAATTGATGATGTTATAGCAACACAAGTTATTGTGAAACTGCAAATCTTTTTTAACAGCCCTAACAAAGATACTATTACATTGATGAGAAATACTAATTTAATACCACATGGCATCTAAATTATTCCATGGTGCAAATAGCCTCAAATTAGTGCTATAATTGCTCCTTAATTACACAACAAATTCAATCTCACTCTCTTCATCTTCTCCTCCCCATATTATATATCACACTTGAAACCGTTATAATGGCACTGCAACTGCCCTACACCTTTCTTCTTCTTCTCTGCTTCTACGCCCCGACACCGGCGCTATGGCGTGCATGGGGAGAGGCCTACGGCGACCAAAAGCCCGCGACTTTGGTAGTGTCGGAGGGAGACTTCTTGGTGAGCTGGTTAGTGTCCTTGTAACAATGGCGAAGTTGAGGTGCTCATAAAGGGCAACAATGTTAGAAACTTCGCGCCATGACAGAGCGGATCACTTTCAAGAATGTGGATGGACTCTGTGCCTCTGGCAGACACATTTGACACTGTCGGACAGTCTCTCTGGGCCTGTAAGGATGTTGGCTACCCACAGGCTCTACTGTAATATTTAATATTTATTTTTTTCGTTCTTGCACAAAAATAAATCATATATCAATATATATATAAGATTAAATTAGATTGCCTCCAAAAATTAGGTTGGCATAAAGAAATTATTTTTTGTGGTTGAAATGAATCCTTCACAATTGAAATTATTTCCTCCGGGGTTAGGAATGAGCTATTATTTGTGTTGGGATCAAGTTGAAAATTTTGATTTGTTTAATGAAATGTAGGGTTCAAATTGGTTGTATTTGTGTAAAGAAAATCCCAGATCAAATTCAAACCCATCTCATGAACCCAAGTAGATACCTTTAATAACGTTTAATATGTTTCAGGAATTGATGATTAGTCAGTCGAAGAATGTGGTCTTGAGAAAAAAAATGCTAAAAAATAGTGAAAAGTTCCTGATCTCGATCATGTAAAGTCAGGGAATAAGAGTAGGAGCCACAGTTACTACACCATTCAATAGCCCTAACTCTGACGGAATCCACATCCAGACGACGAGCGGTGCAACCATCAAACTCTGTCGGGGCACAGACAATGCTTGCATCTCTCTGGGCATGGGTGTCGTCAATATGTGGATCAAGAACATCATATGTGAGCCAAGCCACGGTATATCCATAGGAAAGCTGGGCGAGTCGCCCAGAAGTTCCGTCATACAAAATGTGACTATCAGCTCGGTGGTCTTAACCGGAACAGAAAATGATTTGAGGATCAAAACATGGGTGAAACCCCATAATGGGTTTGTAAGAGGAATTAATTTCCATCAGGCCATAATGAACAATGTGAAGAACCCTATTGTTATTGATCACAATAACTGCCCTAACCATCATAATTGCCCAAGACAAGTAAGCATCATAGTTTAAGGAATGTGATTAAGGGTTGATGTGGCTGGCTACGTTCAGAGAGATGGGGGTGTTTTTTGTAATTTTCTTGATCTATCTCGGAATGTTATTGGCTGAGTTTTATTTAATTATTTCTCTGCTTCCAGTTTATTTGAGAAAATATTTATTGAGATTTTTTGAACCAAAATTATGTTTTATGAATTTTAAAGCTCTATCGGGTCTGTTTGGGGCAGCTGCAGCTTATTGAATAAAGCAAGGTGCTGTGACTATTTTTAAATTTTTATTTTTTTGGAAAAGTCAGACCGCTACCAAAAAATTGTCACCGCACCTAGACAGGTGCACTGTGAAAACGCTGTTTTCAGCATTTTGAAAACGCACAAGCTGTCAAAACGCAGTTTACCCATACAGGTCAGGTGTGTTTTCAAAACGTCGTCGCACCAAATAAGCTGCCCCAAACAGTTTGAAGTAAATATAGTTAAAATTCTTGTTTTTTTTTTAAAGTGGTGCCCTTGTTTTGTAATAAATTTAAAAATGGTAAGATTCATTGAGATGAAAATAATAAGTTTAATAAATAAAATTGAGATTTTTAGGAGCTGAATGTTCTCACTGATTAGACCTTTGGCTTCACCTGAAAGTCATATTTACATGCATGCCACTGAAGCCTTACCAACATAACAAAATATCACCATAGCTATATTTTAAAAGTCTAAAAAAACAAACTTTCTATGGGAGAGTTGAAACGAAAACATTCCACTCGATCCACACGCAATAATACAATGTTGTTAAGAGTGAACTAGGGGTGTAAACGAGTTGACTCGAGTTCAAATCACTCTGAGCTTGAGCTTGAACTTGATCAATTAATCGAACTCGAGCTCAAGCTTACTTTTATTAGTTTTAGCCAGCTCATGAGGGAGCTTGTTTATGATGAAAGAGAACAATATCAATTCAAGCTACTATTATAATAAAATGATAAATTTAAGGAGTAATTATAAAATAAATAATCATAAATCATTTAATATAAAATTAAAAACATTATTATTAAATATTTTTAATAATTAAACGATATTTTGAAATTTTGATTATATTTTACATTAACTTTTTTTATACTAATAAATTTTACATACTAAATGCTCGAGCTACTAAAAAATAAACACCTAATAAATTAAATTAAAATCATAGTAACACATCATACTTTATACGCATACATAAATAGATATTGTGATTTTGAATTAAACAAAAACATTATAAGACAAATAATATGAAGAAGAATTTAATTTTTTTTAATTTAATTTAAGATTAATATTAAGGGGCATTTACATACATACCATCAAATTCCTACATATTTACACATCCAACACTTGAACCTATTTTTTTACATTTATACCACAATTATTTCATGCCACGTCAAAAATACCACAATTTTAATATCAAAAAATGAATACCCCTAGTGCAGGGAAAAAATTTGCGTACGATAGACGTACGCAGCGCTGAGTACGATTTTAAGGAAAAAATTTGCGTACGATAGACGTACGCAACGCTGAGTACGATTTTAAAGAGTACGATTTTAAGGTTATACTGAGGGCATAAGGGGGTTATATCCACGGTATAACCCTTTGTAACCTTCATGTAACTTACCTGTAACCTACTAATAAATTCTTAATATATGATAACAGAAGCGCGGAACTTATTTGTAGGTTACAAGTAGGTTACATTAGGTTACATGGAGGTTACAAGAGTTTATAACACGGGTATAACCCCCTTATACTCCTTGTATAACCTCGAAATCATATGCAACGCTGCGTACGTCTATCGTACGTAAATTTTTTCCATCGTGCAGAGGCAATGTGCTATGAATGCAAAAGTTAAAGCTTAGATGTTACATACATAAATGCATAAGAAGTGAATGGGTATGCATGTAAATCTTCCTAACATTACAAAATGAAAATCTATACTAAGGCAGATAATTTCCAACCCAATCCTTGAGCGGGTGAATATGAAATTTAGTGTCTTAAGTCGATATATTGAAAAATTCAAATGACTTTCGACATAGATTAAAGATTAATAAACATGCACATAATAAGAAAAAAATTAAATGAACATTTATGGCGCACCTATTCAGGACACAATATACAGATATTCAGGCACACTGCATGCTAAAAGAAGAAACCAACAGAGTCAACGGTTCATAAATATACAATAATTAAAAAAGTTAATTTTCTAAGAGCTCATAGAGTTGTTTCGAGATTAATGCAGTATATTTTTAAAATGAATTCAAATATTTAACATTAATCTCAAAAATAAATCAACAGCTTTGGAAAAAATATTACATCAGAACTCCGCACAGAGTTATGTGTAGAGTCCAATGAAATTACGTCAGATGAGATGACAGAAAAAAAAATCAGCTTAGTAACACGGGATTATTCCCTCTATTATTCCATGTTATTCAGAGTTATTGTATGTTATTCATGTGTTATTGTGTTCTGAAAATATTTCAGGTGTTATAATCACAACAACACATTTGTGTTATTCATGTGTTATTGTGTTCTGGAAATATTTCAGGTGTTATAATCACAACACATCAATAACATTTGAATAACACACAATAATATCTAAATAACACACAATAACACCTGAATAACATGAGAGGAATATTCCCTTGTGTTACCGGACATATTTTATTTTATTTTTTTTCTATCACCGCTATGTGGTCACCGCTACGTGGTGGTTTGATTTCATTAGTCCTGATATATTTTCTCACAGTCTCCAAATCAAAATTTGATGAGGAAACACTAACCCAATTTTTTCTCTTACAAAAACCAAAAACATATGCCTTGGATGAAAAATACTTGCATAATAATTGAATAACAAATCCATCTGAGCCAAATTACGCATAAAATCATTATGGCTGGTTAAAATTCACTTCATCTTTCACAATTTACACAGTTACCAAATCGCCCAGCATATAACCACAACATTATACACCTATAGATAAAATATAAAACTCTTATAAAAGCAAAAAATAACAGAGTTATTCTACATAAAATACCAAAATTACATCAAAACAGGCTTAAATTCATTCATGGAGTTGAAAATTTAAACTTGCAGTGAAAGAATATAAGAAATCACCAACTTAATAGGAGAAGAAGGCCAGCAGCTTACTCTATATTTCAGTTGCGTCTATGAGCTCTCTTCTTCTTCTTCATGTGGCGCACAATTTCCTCAGGCCTGTGCCACCAGGTAGGAGTCAGTACAATACTTGGTATCAACCAGTCATCGCTCTCCTCCGTCATATAAGAAACTTTATCCAGAGCTCGCTTCCATCTATCCATGACTCTTTTCAGTCTCAGGCTCGGCACGCTGCCAAGACGATATTTGATGTAGTCTCGGGCGAGCATGGTTAGTTCCGCACCTTTGATTATGTAAATATACTGCAGCAGCAAAACAGAAGAAGATATTTACATATTTACCACACAATTCTTATGGATTTACATGTCCTAAAGTTTGATGTTTATATCTATGCTTAAAAAGGTACATTTAACTTTTGAAAAGTTAGTATAAATGGAATTTTTAATGTGATGTCGAGTATGTGAGTGTTATGAATGTAAATTTTAATGTTTAGGTGTTAGATATGTAAATATAAGAGAATTGTGTACTATTATGCAAATGCCCCAAAAGAAAATAATTAATCAATCCAAAATCTCAAAGAGAAGGAGAGAGTGGAATTGTTAAAGAATTACGCAATGTTTTCAAATAAACTGCCACCCTCATGTATATGGCGAGACTCCACAGTTATTCTGATTTGATTTTTGTAACGGGTTGTATGGTTCAGTAGTTAAATAATTGTAATAGGTAATTAATGAGTCATATAAAGTATTTGGAATTCCAATAAATGCTCATAATTGGAAGTGTTAAGGAAAGCAATTTTTGGAGTTGTCGGCTTCTTCGAATCCGATGTTATCACGATCTCAATGATCCGGATTAATCATATTTATGATATGATATCTCATGCCCAACATGGCAATGATGTTTTCAAATTTAATACAAAGACAAAAGGAAGATTTGTATATATAACACTCAAATCCTATGTATTTACATATCTAACACCTAAACTTCAATTTTAACAAGCACGCCAGCTTACCTATGCATGAAAAGATGTGTTTCACTTTTTAAAAGTTAAAATGACCGTTTTCTTAATGTAAAAAAAGTTTAGATGTTAGATATGTAAGTACATAGGAATTGGGTGCTATGCATGCAAAATGCCCCTTTATAAAATTACAAGCCATAAGGGGAAAACAAAGTGTTTGAGAATGGTACCACAAATATGAAGGCAAGAGTGGCAAGAACAACTTGCAACGTCTCATCTAAAATTCCAGCAAAACCTTCATCTTCCATGTCACCGGAGCCGCCGCTGCCGCCCCCGCCGCCGCTCCAAGGAGGATTTCCATCACCGCCAAATTCCTGTTGCCGCATCTGATCTCGAAACATATCTTGGACTGTTTTTTCCCTTCTCAACCCTCTAAAAGCATCCTTTAGTGAATCCCATGAAAAACCCTACAGAGGTCCGAAAATCGCCCAATAAATAAACCGAGTTAGTTTTGGATATTGTCAAATCAGATAATCAAGCAATCACTGCTATTGTAACCATGCCATGCGCTCTACCGCCGTTGCTTAAACCAAAAAACAGACAAAAATTATGCTCTTATTGGCCCGAGCCCGAGCAAGCTTAAGAAATTAAGCCGGGCATAAGCGCAATATAGAAATGGGAGAAATTTACATTACTAGCACATAATTCTTATGCATTTACATATTTCAAATATAAACTTTCATATTTATATCCACATCACTTTGGTGCTTTAAACCTTTACATGAAAAGGCATATTTTACTTTAAAAAAGTGTGGTGCTGTTTTTGCATATAGAAGATTTGAGTTCTATGGGTGTAAATATGAGCTTAGGTCCGAGATATGTAAATACATAAGAATTGTGTGCCATGTATGTAAATGCCCCTAGAAATTAATGGTTTGCATATTTCAGCTCACTGTTCACTGACAAAGCCAATTGGAAAACCGGTTTGCTAACCAACTTATTTATTTATCAAAGAAATAAATCATGTAAAAATGGAACAAGAAGATCTTTGTTAGACCAGCATCTATGACGCTATCCGCCTCATGCTCCACCGAGACGATGCCGAGCCCGCTAAATAATTTGAAGAGTTATGTGAGGCACAAGGCTAAAAAGTCAATTTAGTCATTTGTTAGTTAATATTGTGGGGTATAAATAGGGCTTAATATGTTTAGGGTTATGTTATGTGATGTTATCTTGAAACTTAGGGTTATGGTTTGGGAGAGAATTGCCGAACTCTCGAATTGTAGGTTTATCAATTATGTATTCGGAATTGTATCATTTTGATTTGATACTAGAGGAATAAAATCTATTTATGTGTTCCTAATTTCTGCAAAGACTTGTCCCGTTCCTATCAATCTAATAATTGAGTTGACAACTATAAATATAAAATACAACCATGAAGGGTTTACATGCACGCCACTAAGTTTTGTGTATTTACATATCAAACAATGAAGCGTTTATATTCAATAATATAACATCATGATTTCTAAATGCCATTAAAACAAATAACATGAAAAGCTGTATTTTACTTTAAATAAGTTAATGGTAGTGGCGCTTTTGATACTATCAAAAGATGAGGATGTCGTATAAGTAAATATTTAAAAATTTAGTTATTAAATATGCAAATACACAGGAATTCATTGGTAAGCAAATAAAACCACCTCCCTTGTTAATACTATTGAGCTAACGGGGAGAGAAGTTGAGCTAAAAGAATATGCATGAGAAAGAAGCATAGAAAACAACACAATTAGATGAGCCAATCACCTTGTTTTCATCTCTCGAGTTTCTTTTTCCTCCAAACAAGCACGTCGGAGCACATGATTTGCACTTCGGAAAACTGCAAACTATATTTTGCATTTTTCGATGCTGTAGTATTTGAGCAGGAGAAATACATAACACTGCCATACGAACGAAGGTAACCTGAGATAAAGAGCATGTTCTGCTGATTCTCGTAGTAGGGGTGCCGAGATTCACAGAGGAATTGAATACATTATTCTGTGTCCAGCTCATCCTTTATCAGAGTGCCGAGCAACTTAAATAAGAATAAAGTATAGAACAAAGGCCAAGTTTTGCATGATAACATCAGAAGGTCGTCATATCAATACCTTACAATTTTTTTTTTTTCAGAATTAAAAGGGTTTATATCACAGAAATATTACATATGAGAAAATTCACTAGTTTACAGGGCTGTAAGTGAACCAACGCATCAGATGAATAACTCAAACGCAATTTGATAAATAGTGTTTAGGTTTATTCAAGTTAAGTAGCTAAATAAGTTTGAGAGCTATTTTAAAACTCAAAAGTTAAATGAGACATTTTTTAACACAATCCAACTTAATTATGTGAGTTCACAATTCATGGTTCAACAAGTAGCTTGCATGCACATCATTAATGTGGTTGCACGAATCTCAAGGAGATCCGAAGGGTCGAATCAGGAAGCAGTAGAAGCATGAACATTCACCATTGCATCAGTCGATCAAATTTCGGGCCGATCGAACGAACATCTAACCAACTAAGGAACACCGCGCGCATAAGTTGATGATTAATCAACTGACGTTTGGCATTAAGAAAATCAATAACCGTCTAAGAGAGTTCCTTTTGCATAGGTGCATTGACCAAAGGAATGCTGCTTGTAAGATTATGGTAAATACCAGTCTAAGAGAGTTCCTTTTGCATAGGTGCATTGACCGAAGGAATGCTGCTATGGTAAATACCCTCTGCTTGATGAAACAATTATTCCTGTGGACGATAAGCCCTCGCAACAAACTTCTTCGGAAGAGGCTATCAAAAACCATTTGGTCGCATATACTTTCGACTGGTCAAATGAATACTAGGCGATCAGACCAAAAAATTAAAAAGTGAAACAATGTCAAATACGAATACAAACATAAAATGGTGTCCGCGGTTACAGGGTAAAAGTGTTTTTTACTTTAGTTACAAATATGTAAAAGTGTAATGATTCATAAATGATTATAACGTTCCCATTAAATGGGGACAATCATTTAATTTATCACATCCTTCCTATGACTTATAAATAAGAGGGTTATTTTCCCAAAAAATTAAGTATTGCGTCTCAAATTCTTCTCCTACTCCCTTTCTCTTATTCGGTTAATGCTCTATTCCATGAGTGTGATCCACAAGACAATTTAAGATTCAACATCATAAAAGGTGCAGTAAGCGTGAAATCATGTCTTCAACAAGAAGAAAAGAGCGTCAAGGTGAAGGAACACAACAAGGAGAAGCTCTAATATGGAGTATGTCTGGGAACTCGTGCAACCGAAAATTCAAGAACCTCATGATAGGATGACGGGATTGCAGATTAACCTGTGTTGTGCTTGAAGGGAGAGTGCAACCTCTCCCACAATCTCATCAACCAGCACTCGAACATCAAGATCAGCAGCCGACTCAGGCAGTTGAACAAGGGGAGGAATCCCAGTACCAAGACAGCATTGGGTCCATGCCAAAAAAAAAAATGCAATCAGGGCAAATAGAAATTTACCGCCGATTGAAGAATGTGATCCCCTGGCATATTGTTGAAGCTGAGCCCTAAGAGAAATTCAAGGTTCCCTCATCGGAACTGTACAAAGGTCGGAGTAACCCGGTCGATCATGTTGCATCCTTTGAGTTGGCAATTTGACTTCTCAAAATTTTTGACGCGTTGAAACATTGACTGTTCTACACTACTCTGAGAGATTCCGCTCTCAGATGGTTCAATGGACTCTCTATTAGAATTATCAATTCCTTTGAAACTATACAAAGGTCGGAGCGACAAGGCCGATCATGTTGCGTCCTTTGAGTCAGCAATTTGCCTTCTCAAAATTTCGACGCGTTCAAATTTCAGTTGTTCTACACTACTCTGAGAGATTCCACTCTCAGAGGGTTCAATGGACTCCCTGTTGGAATTATCAATTCTTCAAAGTTCAAAAAACTATTTTTGGCACAGTTTGCTAACGCCCAGAAGCCCTGCAAGGATTCAAACTCCCTATGGTATTTAAATCAGGGACCAAACGAGAGCTTGCGGACATACGTTACACGGTTCCAAAAATAGATGCTCAAGATATTAAACCTAAAGCCAGCAGTTGACAAAGCCTCCATGGCGCAAGGACTAAAAAGTCCACTGTTCAAGTATTTCTTGCGTTTAAGGAAACCCGAAGTGTTAGTTGAACTATTAGAGTTGGCTAACGACCACATTGCGGCCAAAGAATACATGAATCCGCCTGTTACAAAAGGCGAGAAGTCCGACCGACAATCAAGCAAGAAAGGCTCCAACGACAATGGAAGGAGGGAGAAGAATGACCCTCGTCCGAAGCGCAAAAGAGGCTATTTTCCCTGCGAGGACTAAGATGTCGAACCAGACACGCGTATACGCAACCGATCGAATAATCGTTGTATGAACGATCGCGGAACTTCAAGGCCCACAAAATTGAGGGTTTCGATGGCAGAACTGATGGACGTCATACAAGACAAAGAATACTTCTGAAAGGCCAACACCAATGAAAATCGGGGCTTCTCTCTGAAATCCCAACAAGTAATATAGAGACCACGGGCATAATACAGAAGAATGCAAGTACCTCCATAGCTTGGTAGAAGAGTTAGTACGAGCCAGAAAACTCAAGGAGTACATGACCCCTTAAGCACATACTCGACTACAGGGGGAAAAACCTGCAGAGGACAAATCGGATGGACCTCTCCGGGCCAATATTATCCACATAGCGGGGATGGTATCAACGATACTAGGAGGTGATTCAATCCAAACTCCTGACCGAAAAAGGAGCCGAAAAGGGGAATATTGTGCCTTGGCTTCTATCCCAACAAGGAAGCCCCATCCCCCGACATTTTTCACTGACGCAAATTTACCTCCAACTGGAAAGCCCTACAACGACGCTATCGTCATTACTGCACTGATTAATAACTACCAGGTATGTAGTATTTTGGCTTATATAGGTAGCTCGAGGAAATATTTTGTTCAAAGCTACATTTGACAAAATGAATTTGACCAAATATTTGGTCACGCCAACTGGCCCACTATATGGATTTTCTAGCAAATGAAAAGTGGTGTTGTGCATAATTGTGTTATCTGACACCTGGGGCAAGGGCAAAAGCCAGATCACGAACATTGAAGATTTCTTGGCGGCCGATGCGCCACCAACTTACAACGCAATTTTCGGTTGTCTGCTCAACGATTTCCGGGTCGTGGTGTCAACCTACCACGTAGCAGTGAAGTTCCCTAGCGAAAGGGAGATTGTTACCATACGTGGGAATCTAGAGCAGTCTCGAACATGTTATCTCCGGGCAGTAGGGAACATATAGCACAGAGCGCTAAATACACAACAACAATGAGAATGAGGCCTTGAAACAAATGAGATCACAGCCAAAATCCTTGTAGATCTCAAGGACCTCGGTAATTTTTTTCTAATTAGTGAAACATTTTATGTAGGTCACAAAGAAATGTTGAACCAGACTCTTCAAAAGCATCGCAATGTCTTCACCCGGTCAGGCGTTGAAATGCTAGCATTCTCACTGACGAGGTTTGTCAAATCCTCTACATCAGCTCATATGCCCGGCCTATGAAGCAAAAGATTCAGTCGTCGGCAACAACTTTGGTAAGACTAATTCAAAAGGAGGTACAAAAGCTCTTGGAGGTCGGCTACATCAGGGAGGTACAGTACACCTCCTGGGTATCCACTGTAGTCAAGGTGCAGAAATCCAACAGCAAGTGGAGGATGTGCATGGGCTTCACAAATCAGAACACTGCTTTCGCACTAGTGAACTCTGTTATCGGATACTCGATCATTAGTTCCCTGACTGTGTTGCATCCAGCCGATGTTGAGAAGACAGTTTTTATTGCTAGTGAAGGTTTATTTTGTTTTTACTATAATGTCCTTTGGGCTAAAAAACAATGGTGTTGCCTATCATAGATGTAATTTTTTAAGCAAAAAGAAAGAAATAGTCTATGTTGACGATGTTCTAGTAAAACGTAGGTCGTTCGAGCAGCATGTAAGTGATTAAAAAGAATTCTTTCAAACTCTCATAAAATATAACATGAAATTAAACCCGTTAACATGCACGTTTGGGGCTTCAAACGAAACATTCTTAGAATATCTCTTGACACCCGAAGGCATTAAAGCCAATAACTCCTGAGCCTGTCTTTTCCCCGGAACACCAAAGAAGTGTAGAAGTCGACTGGTCGATCGACGCGCTGGGCAGATTCATTTCTAAAAAAGGCAAAAAATGCACAACTTTCATTAAAGTACGAAGAAAAACTAGGAGGTTTGACTGGTTGACAGAGTGCGTGTTGGCCTTCCAAAGTTTGAAGCAATCACTGGTCTCACCATCACAGTTGCAAAGTACGAAGCCCAAGGAAGAACTCATCATATTTGGGAGTTGGTTTGAATGCCATGAGTTCAAGTCTAGTTCGAGAGGAGTTGGGGAAGCAATTCCTCGTCTATTACACCAACCGAGTTCTCAGAGGAGCAGGAGTTGGGGAAGCAATTCCCCGTCTATTACACCAATCGAGTTCTCAGAGGAGTTGAAGTCAAGTACCTTATTATAAAAAAGCTAATGTTTATTTTGATTGTCTATGCTCGCAGGTTCCGGTCGTATTTCCAAATGCACTCAATTAGAATGATCACTGATCACCCGCTCAAATCTGTACTCACACAACCGGAACACTCTGGTCAACTACTGAAGTGGGCAGTAAAACTCAACAAATATGACATCAACTACGTCTCCTTCCCATAACAATTTTAATAACAGGAAATAAAACAAATAATCCCACATGCATAAAATCAAGTCAACATGTCCATCTACCATTTCATTATTTTCTTCTTCTAACTTATGCATGTACATCCACATTTACATCAAATGAAACGTAACATAATGCAAAATTACCTAAAACAACTAAAAAAATAAATATTAAATGAATTATTCATAAAGTTTTTTATTAATTAACTTACACACTTATCTTACATGCTAAGGCTCAAGTCGTGGAAAGTTTTCTAGTGGACTTTTCTGAACCGGATGAGTCGAGCG